CTTGTGCTTGACTTTTCTCACATAAAATGTTGCACTGAGGTCAAAATGACTGCTCTCACACATGGAAGTTCAGTGTTTTGCTAGATTGAAACCTAAATCTGCTTCCATATGCTGAAAATAAGGAGACCTTGGCAATGCTTCCCTAACCGGATCTGTTCCCAGTATCAAGGAGCAGTGTTCCCTCTAAGCTGCAAGGCAGCACAGCCTCACAGGCGATGAATCAGCTCCGCCCAGTCAGAGGCTCAAGGCTCCAAGGGTGGAGCTGACGACTGAGGGGCTGATTAATCACCTGTGAAGCTGTGCTGCCTTGCAGCTTAGAGGGAAGGCTGTCAAGGAGTACAAAAATATCCTCAGAGCTGGATAATCTGGTGTGTTTTTTTAAACGTGATAATGTTGCTACAATGGACACAAGTTAGGACTCATGCTCCGAGGTGAACAGCGGGTAGGTGGACGTGAGTGGGGAAGGTTCCCAGTTCTTACAGGCTGGCTAAATGCTCCAAAATCAGCGGTGGGCAATAATTTTTGAGGGGGAGCCACTCCAAGATGTTGTAAGTGATTAAGGGTCACACATTTCTATGGAGGGACATGGCGTCTGGGACGGAGGTTGGGTGTAGAAGGGAACTTGGGGTAGGGGACTGGGGTTCAGGAGAGGGTCTGAGGGCACATTTGGGTGACGTAGGGGGTTATGATCTGTGGCAGTGGCTTTGGAGGGCAGGGCCTGGGAGGAGGTATGGGTGCAGGAGAGGATCCTGGCCTGGAGGAGGGGCATAAGAGGGGGTTCAGGGTCCAGGAGGAAGTTGCGACTAGGAGAAGGAGGGCAGGGGGATGGCAAAGGGTTTGGATGGTGACCTGGGGCAGGAAGTTGGGGGGAGGCAGGGGCGGGGAGGTGCTTACCTAGGTGGCTCTCACCCAGCAGCACTGCAGGATCCTGCCTGTCGCAGCCCCGGGCTGCTCAAAATGGCTGGCTCTCTGCTCCAGATGCTGAGGGGAGAGGGAGGCTTTGGGTGCTGCCCTCTGTCCCTAACAAAATCTCTCAGCTCCTATTGGCTGAGAGCCACAGGGGCTGCTCCGAAGTGGCTGGATGCTCTGTGGCTGAGGGGCCCGGTGGGGAGGCATGTGGGCTGAGCCAGGTTTTTCTGAGAAGTTGGCTATAAAAGCGATTCAGCAATAGCTCTCAAAGTGTATCTATGAAGACATGATGCTTAGTGGAGCCAAATATACTCAACAGCTTATTTTAACTGCTACCTATAAAACCTTAATGCATGACAGAAGTGAAAACACCTAGTTTGCTAATATTATTACAGTACAGACTGGACCTCCTCGGTCTGGCACCCTTCAGACCTGACCGGTCCCAGATGAGGGATTTTGCCGGACTAAGGGAGGTCACATCTGGCCCCCTGCTACCGCCCCACCCCAGCCCTGGACGGGCCACCAGCTGGCTCCCCCCTGCACTGGTCCCAACCCCACCTTGGATGCTCCACCAGGAAACCCTACTGGGACGCACCAGGCTCCCAGCTCTACCAGGCAACCCCACTGGGGCACACCTAGCAACATTACACCAGGGAGCCCAGCTGCGGGGACCCAGGCTCCCAGCCCCAGTGGCAGCTCACTGCTGGCAGCCAGCTGGTCTCTTAGACATCAGCCCTCCACCGGAACTCTTCTGGTCTTGGAACATGTTCCTGGACCAGAGAGTCCCAGTTTACAGAGGTTCAACCTGTACTTCAAAAATATGGCAGCAGACTTAAAATCTAAGGTACTTGCTTAAACAACTCAAAAACATCTGCAATGGGCAACAATACTTATGACTGAGCATTGAGGCATTAAAACAAAATTGAGCTGTAAAACATAATTGTGTGAACACCAAGGTCCCCTAAAGTCACAAATGACCAACATACTAATATGCTAAATATTTAGTTCTAAAAATTTCTAATACAGCAGACTGCCGATAATCCAGCACCTTTGGGACCCAGGAGGTGCCGGATTATCGGATGTGCCGGAGGAGGTACTCTGGCAGGGGGGCTGTGACGGGTGTGGGGCTAGGAGGGGTCGGGCAGGGAATGGCGTAGTGTGGGGAAAAGTGGGTGACGGTGAGGGGCGGAACTGCAGGACCAACCCAGCAGCACCCCAGCTGCTCAGCTCTGTGCCGCTTCCCCAAGTCCGCAGCTGGTCAGTTTCAGCAGTGGCAGCAGTGGACTTGGGGAAGCCACGCAGAGCAGCTGCAATTGTCCGGCTGGCTGGAGCACTTCCGGGTTCCAGTTGATGCCGGACTATCGGGAGTGCCGGACCACTGGATGCCGGACAATTGGAGTTTTACTGTACATATAATAATTTTCATTTTCAAAATAAAAATTGAGTCACTCGTTATAGTTGAGCATATCATCTAAATTAAACCAAAGAAAAAAAGGAAGCTGCATTTCCTGCTCAGTAGTGCAGGTTATTGAAGTTGTTTCACCAACAACAACTTACAAGCACAGAATCCCAGATATAAAACTTCTCACTTCACTGTTTAAAATAAACATACACTCACATTTTAAAACTCTTCAGTGTTCCAAGAAAACAGGTAGCAAACAATTACTGTTCACATTATGATTCACATTTGATTCACTAACTTTTTAATACAGTTCTCTTAAATTTGTTTTTTTTCCCCCTTACAAGTATTAAAGCAGATGATATTTGTTTGGATTTGACAATTAAATGGGTAAATTTTTAATTAACCATCTGACAAGACAGACATGTTGGGAAACAAATGGGTCAGGAGACTGAAATGGTCTTAACATCTTCCAGCAGGCTTTAAAAAACACCATACAAAGATTCAACATTCAACTCTAAATTAGCCACTGATGATTCTCTTCTGAAACACTGTGGATGCAAAAAAAAAAAAAAAAAAAAAAAAAGCTTGAAGGACAAGGGCTCCTATAAAGACTGGGAGATTGGAAATATTTGTACATGAAGATAAGATGTAAGTACTGTATATGGAGACCCATGTGACAGCAACTAACAGCTAGAATATTCTGAACATTTGTTTTTGAAACTGGAAAATTATCTATAGCTATAATATAATTTACAACATTAATCCCTACTTCTTACCCTCTGAGGGTATGTCTACACAGCAGCATTATTTGGGAACGCATCTACACAGCAAGCCATTATTTCGAAATAATGTCGAGCTGGAGGACTTTTCTCCAATTCCTGTAACCCTCTTTTCATAAGGAATAAGGGAAGTCGAAGAAAGAGTATTCTTCCTTCGACTTCCTGCTGTGTAGAACGTGCCAAAAGCCAAATTAAACTATTTCAACTTCAACTACACAATTGACATAGCTGAAGTTGGGTATCTTAATTCGACTTTTGCCCTGTTGTGTAGATGTACCCTGAGTAATTAAGCACTGTGGGAAAAGTGTCTGGGGAAGAATTAATCACATCAGACTATTAAGTGTCAACTCTGATTTATGACCCTCTACACAATTTATGGCACCATCTACACCACAAAAATAATCATGTTTAATGGTGGTTGTGGACAAACCTTGTTGTATCTTTTACCATGGATATTACTGTAGTGTAGACATGTCCTAAGCAGAATGGTAACTAAGCAATTGCTTCAGTACACATGCCATGGTAATAAGGCTTTACCAAATAGATCTTTAGAACTACTGTCTCAAAAAAAAAAAAATCTTATAAAATAATACAGTAATTTACCTGTAACTTGAAAGACTCAAAGGCTGGTTGTACTTTACACTTTATGAGAAGTAAAGACTGTTAATCAGCGAGGAGACAGAACAGGAGAGGTGAATTTTAAGAGAATAGCCTTAAGTTTGCTTTTGCAGTATGAAAGCAACTTTCATAAGCTTAAACCTGCAGTGCTAATTATTTTAAACATTTTCCAAGTAGGGATGTAAAATCCCATTTAATCATTAAGTTTAACCAGTTAACTGATTACTTGGTACCCCCTGGGCACAGCCAGAGCACCCCCCAGCACAGGCAGGTGACTGCTTGGGCCAGGCCTGCCATGGGCAGAGGGCTGCTCGGCTCAGGCTGGGCTTAACACATAGGCAGGGAGCTGCTCCAGCCTGATTAAGCTGAAGCACTTGCGGCACAATGGGCCCAGCTGAGCTGGAGCACACCCAGCCCGTGGGAGTCGCCGCTGGACCCACTTTGGGAGGGATGGGGGGTGTGCCAGCCCAGCCAGGCCACTGGTTAACCAGTAACCATCATCCGATAAGGGTGATGCTTACCACTCAACCGGTGACATCCCTATTTCCAAGTAGAAGTTATATAATCTTTGTCCCTCACAGGGCTTCTTTCAGTTTTTTCCATTATACAAATTTTCATTCATTCAAATATTTTATTCCAAAATGTTTACAAGGCGGCCACGTTATGGAGTACTTGCCCACAAATTTCATTTTTATTCTAAGAAACCATATTTTCAATTATACCAAAGAACTAAGGCAAACATATTCAGTGAACTTCTTCCATAATACTTTATCTACAATAAATCTGTGCAAATTCAGAACACTATTAACTGATATTATTTGCCAATAAAATATGGGCTAGATTATTACCACTATGTCTTGTCCTCAATGTCAATTGCTTTGGAGACTGCCCAAGAATTCAATGTTTGGGAGAAGGGGGGGAGAAATTAGACAGCTTAAGTAGTATTAATGTGACCAGGAAAAATGAAACTTCTGTGTTTTCTGATGAGTAATGATAACAGCTGTATAGGTCATAGGGGATTTAAAAGATACAAGTATTTAATGATAGTAGATATACTTGGATGTTTTTAAAGAGAAAAGATAAGATGTTAGTATAAATTAATTTCAAGATTAGACAAGGGATGGAAGTTTTTTTTAATTAGCCATGCTGTGGAATGGATTAGGTGACCTATGAAGGTCTTTTCTAGTCTTATGATTCTATGGTGAGTTTCACCAGGTACAGTAATTGAGAATGGCAAGGAAATAATTCTCCATTTGAAAAGTGGATGAAACAGTACAACAGAGCTAACTTACCAAATTATGTGACTGGGGAAAAGCATGTTTTGTAAGGACGTCAAAAATATCTCTTCTGCTGTGACCTTCCTGTTTCAGTGCAAACCGTAAATTTCTCATATCCTAAAATGAAGATAAGTACCTTTAAAAACAACCAAATTACAGTAATACAATCTCTTTATTTTGTTTATAATTACTGAATTATATGACAAACATGATGTAGAATGTACTCAACATAACAAAAAGAAATATGAATATTCATTTTAAGCCCTCTCCTACTTTATTTTTAGACAAAGAATTTTACAACTTCATTTGCATGGTGGAAACAGAGTTTTACCTTACTGTGCAATATTAGTGTTCTTCCCCTTCTTTGGCTTTAAACAGTCAGAAGCAGTAATATTTGATTCACTAGCAAGTCTCAAGGGCTACTGAATGTTTGTTGTCAAAGTATCCATGTCGTAAACATAAAATAATTCAATCTACAATCTGTCTAAACTACACTGTTCTCAGACACTTCCTGATGACGGATGTTAAGAAGCACGTAATTCATTAATCGTGTAGTCAACAACGATCAATCGATAAGGGAGGCACTGCAAGCACTCAGTCCAGGCTCGCGCTGGGTCCCAGGAGTTACCCCCGCTGCAACTCTGCATGCAAAATAAGTCATGAACCGGCCAGCAAGCAGGCTGGCTCAGTCCTAGGAGCTACATTCATGTTATTGCAGAGCCACAGTGGGGGTAGCTCCTGGTCCTGGCATGAGCCAGGATTGAGCCAGGCTGCTTGACAGTCAGCTCCTAAATTACTTTGCATGCAGAACTGCAACGGAGCGAGTGGGGGAGGAAAGGGGTAGCTCCTGGACCTGGCTCAAGCCAGGACTGAGCCAGACTGTCGGCCTGCCCACTAAAAAATTTACTGGGCAGAACTGGGGGGAGAGGGGAAGGGAGAAAGGAGAAGAGAGGGGGAAGCTTGCCTGTAGCCAGTAGCATTAATCAATAAGCATCCACAACCGGCTACACTATTACAACCCTATTCTTGGCTCACTTTAAAATGAAGAAATGTGCACGTTATTCTTGAGAACAGTCTGTGGTTTACATATTCCATTCAAGAGTTATATAAAGGACTCCTGAATTATCAAAAAAGAATCCTCTCATGGCAATATACACGGACATAAATCTTGTGAGACTTTAGAAAAGGGAGGCATTGTTTAACAAGTATGTCTGTGCATTTGGGTTAAGGTCCTTTTTCTGGCAATGAAACCCAATACAACTATTTGACCCCTCTTCCAAGGCAATGGCTGGATCTTTGAAGAAGTTATACGATAATATAAAAATGATCTTTAGGGTCCATAAAATAAAGAACTATAGGTGCATGAATTATACCTGTGTTTCATAAATGTGATTAAAATCCCACTGATGGGCAAAACTGAGTATTACAGTCTACTATTACAAAATACCACCATTCTTCCCCATTATTGTTGACAACAGCAGTTACACCTTATAAATTATTCCTCTAGATAATTCTGGAAAGCTCTTTCTTTAGATTAGGTGTAGGATGGGGGAAGGGAAACCATTTTGGATAAAAGTAAATTTAGCGTATGTATTCCAGATAGTTGGATGAACAAAATACTTGGGTTTTTTTTTTGTTTGTTTCTTTCTGCAAAAGATGTATTCAATGAAAATATTGACATCCTTGAATTCTCTCTAGTTACTAAACTGTTGCAAGTCTTACTTTACAAGTAATATCTAGCCCATAGGAATTTTCTCCTCTACTTGAAGCTCCTCCCATTTTCTCAATCCTTGAAATTACGCCCAGAGGAACATCCAATATCACATTTGGATCCTGAAAGGGAAGAATAAGTAAATACACTGTTACTGCCTTTAAGCTTCATATAAAACTTCTTCAATAGCACAAGATACATAGTGTGTATCATAAAATACACATAGCAGGTGTCATATATTCTATAAAAGAGTTTGTTTCTTGCTTTAACTTTACAATGCAAAACTGAAAATTCCCTTCTGCCCCTGCAATACAAATTGAAAATTGTAAAGTCACAATCCCTTCCTATCTGATTTCAAGAACTGTTAATTTGTGTATTACTCAACAAGATACTGATGAAGCAGGAAAAAATGTAAAAGCATAGATGCCACCTTGTAGTGACACTGAATTAATTCTAACTGTAGATAGAAGAGAAATCAGTGAATTGAGAAGAATATAGCTAGTTATTATTAAGAGCTACAATTCTGGTACAAACATTGGCAGGGTTCTGTCTGACAAACAGGGTCAAGACCAGGTAACTCATTAAATCTGAGGGAAGAAACTAGATACAATCTCAAAAGTGTTAACAATATTCCTATAATTAAGAGAAAACACAGCTTTAAAACAAGTTGAGCTGATTTGTAATCTTCTGTTAATATTTGAAATGCTGACTGCACATATCTGAGAAAAATAACGAACAGTTTTCATCTTTCAAAGGCAACACCCCACTCTTGCCTGCATTCGTTCATAATAGCACAAACTAAGCTAAGTCAATTAAGCCTGAAAAACTATATACTTTAAGATTAAATATTTCTGCAACGAAATTAATATCATATTGATTATAAAAACATAACATTTCTGCTACTGTCTGTTTTAACCGATTACCACCTTCCTTTTCCTAACAATGTAAATCTTTTTTGAGACAATTTAAACTATCTTTCTTCACATGAATTCTGCTGCAGGAATAAATTACTCTTGTATTTGCAATGCAAAATTATTGTCACAGTAGTGAACTTTAGCACCAAAGAGGAAAATTGCTCCTTTTTGTGTCTAAGTATTGCCAACTTTTTGCATCCAAGTAATAAAAGCTGTTTGAGACCAGTGATCTCAGTTCAAGGGTTCTAAAACCTTGAGTCTGATCACAACAAAGCAGTCCATGATTAATTTTATTCTGTCTTACACCTGTAACTTCAACAGATATTTCTGTTCCACCACTGGTGCTGTTCTATAGGCAGAGGTTCACAGATTTCAAAGCCAAATTTCGAGGGACCAAAACAGGAAGAGAACAACATCTCATTCCTGGTCTTCGATCATACAGTTTTGCATTGTGAAAATGTTTATACATACTACTCACTATTTCCACACTTCTTAAGTAAAGTCTGTAGTTCGTGAGGTACAGTCTTCCTTTAACAGCACCATTAAATGGGCATACATAGATAACCTCCTTGTCTGTAAATGAAACACAGAATTTACCTTTAAAATATTATGAAAAAAAATAATAATTTAGAAGTTAAGGACAACACAAATAATTAGTAATAAAAAGTTGTATTCATAATATAAATTTTATTTCAAAAAAGGATTTTCATAAGGGAAACACTTTTACATGTTAATTTAAGAAGTGCCTAATCAATTTAGGAAAAAAAAGTTGAAAGTTTCAGATTCTACATCTGCCCTTAGTTTGATTTCTGACTATCTGTATTTCCCTCTCTTCCTCGCTGCTATGTGAAAGAATTACACAAACAAGAGGAAGCAACTGGGATTTAAAGTTTCTCTTTTGTAACAGATAGAGTGTTCTTTTAAGATTCCACAGTGAACATTCTTATGTTGATATTGCTTTATCTTTTGATGCTCTGTAAATAGTTCTTTTGCATCAGTGTATACAGTTTTCTTTGTAAGATATGTGGAGGGCTCACCGTTAACAGTTCACCCTGGAGAGAACCACTCAATTTCACTTTGACCAGAACGAAAGAACAGTTTATAAGACAGCCGATAATGCAAGTAGCAAAGCCCTGGAGGCACCCTAAATGCATTATACCACTACTACCAAATCACTGAGCACATCTACAGTGAAAGGAAATACTATCACATATACAAATAACTGCTCTTAAGAGCTACAATAAGCTTTGTGAGGAAATTTTATAGTAGATATTACTACTCATTAAACAGAGTTTTCATTGTGCAGTATCATCCATTTTATTCCCCACTTATTCCCTGGCCCACTTTCCCCACCCATCCTCACATCAAGAATTCCCGCTCTCTCCATAGACCCCATTCTTGCTCTCCCATTCCCTCCTTCATTTGCCCGATTAAAAAAAAATCTAGAAAATTCCCATCAAAAATATCTAAAACCAGATAAGGTTTCTTAAGTGTGATCTCTCTCTAAAAGAAACCATTAGATACAAAGAGTATGTCTACACAGCAAAGAAAAACTCACTGCTGGCCTGTGTCAGTCAACGCAGGCTCACAGGGTTCAATCTGCAGGGCTGTTTAATGCTGCGAAGACTTCCAGGTTTGGCCTGAAGCCTGGGCCCAGGGATCCAGAGAACTGGAAGGGACTCTGAGCCTAGAAGTCCACATACAGTAATTAAGCAGATCCGCAGCCCAAGCCCCCAAGTTAGCTAGCAGGAGCCAGAAGTATCTAGTTGCTGTGTAGACATACCAGCAACTAGATAAGAAAACACAGAATCATAGACCCATAGAGCTGGAAGAGATCTCAGAAGGTCATCAAGTCCAGCCCCCCTGCTCTAGGCAGGACCAATCCCAACTAAATCAACCCGGCCAGGGCTTTATCAAAACATCCAGCTAAAGGCCTCCTTTTAATTGGACCCCAACACCCACACACAGCAGATTTCCACAGAGGGTGGTAGACTCCACACCTTCACAAGAAACATCCTTCTGTCTCCCACACATAAGGAAACAATGCACAGTCTTCTGCACACTATAATGCGAAAACCTTCAATACAATATCATATTTCAATAACACAACACGCCAACACTTGGCTGGCACACACAAGTCAACTCTGACATGCTAATGTTGTTCAAGTTGTAGTTGCATATGATTGTGCGAGGGAGACTGATGTGCTGTGTGCAGCATTTCTTTACCCACTGGAGGCATAAGAGAGCTGGGGGAGTCCATGCACATGCACTGCAAACTTGCTGCATGGACAGTAAGTTACAGCTAAGAGGCATCCATTACTTTTGTATTTCCTTGCTTTTAAGGGTTTGCATTGGGTGGATGCCACGCTTCAACAACCTTCATGGTTTTAAAACTTATTTTTTGTTTACGGGAGTTCAGTAAAAGTTATCCCACTAAAAAGTCACAATAGCAGCAAGATAAAAGCTTATTAATCCTGGCTTATTAATCCTTTGATATCCACTATATTAGACTGTTCAATTATAATTTTTTACCTGTAACTCTAGTTTCTCCTGGTAGACAAGGTATTTCCTCATGTTGTTCCCATTTAATTCCATCTTTTGGGGTCTAAAGAGAAATGGTAGTATAAAGACAAACTCATAGTTTGTACAACTTCTTCAAAAATTGTAGATATAAACTGTTTTAAAAAATTAAGTACATGAATGAACAGGAACTTCAGTACAGGAAGTGAGATAGCAAAGCAAAGCAAAACAAAAAAGGAACCCCTGAAATAATAATTCAACTCTGTGCTTAATATTTGCAAAAGAAATTTTCAAAAATAATCTTTTTGTTTAATTGGAATAAAACGCCTACACCTGTGTCTCAAAACATTTTGTAGCTTCCAATTTTGTGGGAAAAGAGCTAAAAGTGTTGATTAGTTTTCAAATAGCTTATATAACTAAAGTCTTAGAGGGGTATATAGTGAAAATATTCACTTCACTATTAGAAACAACTTTGCACATTTGGGAGTTTACATCTTATAATAAAGATTTTGAGAGAATAGTGAGAAATTTTTAAACAGCAAATAAGCAAACTTCTATAATGATACTTAAGTGCAGGGATAAACAGTCCACCAACAATGCAGAAGCAGCAGCATCAGAATAAATCAAGGTAAAATAAATTACTTAAAAATACTCCCCCTTCTAATATTTGTAACTAAAAAGTGGAGTTTAGCAAAGACTACTTATGTTTTAGGTAACTATATTTAATTTCAGATTTGGCCTGCTATAGCATGTGGCTAGATACAATTTGTTAATTGTGCTACAGAATTTTTCTAGAGACAAAAAGAGCTGAATATTAGATAATTACAACATTCAGCAATACTAGAAAAAGCGCATAGCAATTTGAAAATTAAAAAAAGACTGTTTTCAAACAGGAAAATTTGGGATAAGAAGTGTCTGTTTTCACAGGTTAGTACCTCAATTGTAGGGTTCATTGTTGTTCCAAGTTGCATTTGAAATTTGGAAATAGAAATGATTTACGCAGTTAAGAATAATGAAAGTTATTCAATAAATATTCAGTTTTGTGCTAATGACCTCTGGGATAATTGACTTAAAGTGGAAAACAATACATAGCCACAATAATACAGAAGCAGCTCCACTCACCCTTTTAATTGAGGAGCTCTCCAAGGAGTTTGAATTATATTTAGGTGTTGATGATGAGGCCATACTGAGAATCTGATGAGAAAGCAGATATTGGAGACTTCAGTTAGACTGTATACATTATACAGAAGTGACATGTAAGAACAGGAGAGAACAAGATTTGAATATTTGCAAATACAATAAATTATTACAAATTTCAGATGCACAGATTTATTCTAATACCTTGCAACCTAGTGTTTTACTTGTTCAATTAATTACAACATTTTAAAGCCTTCAAATATAATAAATATACTCATTTTATAATTCTTTCCTTTTGCCCCAAACAAAACTTGTAATTGGGGACGATACATTACATATTTTAGGTATTTAAAATGTGATTAATCGAGAAAATAAATTAGCATACTTAGCTATTGTGTTCTGCCACACAGCAGAAATATTTACCCTAGTAATCTGTTACCTGAATGTTTATATTATGAGCTTTCATTTAGAAATATAGGAAACAAAATTAAATTAACTAGTATTTATCACACAGACCTTAAAATTTATGCTTATAAATTTATTCAGAAGGGGAAAACTTCAAGGAATTACCCACTATTTTTTTTATAGTCAGAAAATATAATCCCAACTTCTTAAATTAAATACCACTGAACCTCCAGGAGGGGGAGTCTGCTGTGTTTTTCCTAACCAGAGTAGCCTTGATGCATTTAAAAGAAAATGCTGCTTTTTTCGTTTTAATTCAAATTTTAAAAACTGATTTTGATTAAAGACAAAAGAGTACCATTTCAGCATTTATCAATAAAACAAGCTTCACTTTTTTCTGATTTTGCAAAAGGGGAACCTATCTGCTTTAACCTCTGATGGGTAGAGGTGCAAGTCTATTTTTGAGTAACATTTTTCTTTTACAATGACACCATTCATTAACTAACTGAAAGCAGTCTTTTGAAAGATTTTGGTTTTTATTACCTAGAAGCCATGAGACTGCTCTTATTTTAGCCTTAATCAATTATGTTGTGTCCATGGATAAACACACCATGGCTCCCTGCGCCCCTCATCCCCCAGACGATTATTGTCACTTGTTTTAATCTACATCTGCTTCTGCACAACAGCATGTACCCAATGACAGTGCAGCAGTGAGAAACATGCAGAAGTGATCCTACTTGTCTGAAATTGCTATGACTGTACAGGAAAAGAAGTTGAACGCAGGAGGAGCATGAGGTTAAAACAAAGATATCTGTGAACTTTACAGGCTCGTCTGTATTCCACGTGAATAAGAGCACAGGCAAATATAGGAATCCTAATATTCAGCTTATTTGCAAGCTTATTGACAAATATCTAAAACACATTAATATTCTAAATGAAAAGATGAAGAAAAAAGATTCTGTGATTCATACTGATAAATAGCTTGTTTAAAATGGTCATATTAAGGCATCACTTCCTTCTTAGATCTCTTTCACTTTCAGTTATTTTGTTTGTGACCAAGAAATTATTTTGGATTTTTATTCAATTTAAACATTTTAGCCAGTTGAGCTCAACAACCACCTCATCTTTGGACTCGTGAAACTTATTCTGTTTGTTTTATAACTTCCAATTTGGCACATACCAAGTGCTGAGTGAGTTCTAATGCCGTTGCCATGTTTCAAAGGAAGATAAAATGAGTGTACTGTTCTAAAACTTCAGTGATATACATCTATTTGTGCCACCTTCAGAGTCAACTGTTCCTAGTATTCAGCAGACAATACCACAAAAGTCACATTTTTATTGATTTCATAATCAGAAATGGCAATTAGGAGAGAAAAGAAGGTAGTTTGGAATTAGCAACTTTTCAGACAAAGCATAAAAAATACTGAACACGGGTTTGCAACTATATCATAATATTAGTGTGATCGGTGTATATTTGAATACTTAACCGTCAAATGGCTGAAATTATTTTCTTTTAACTAAAACTGGTTCTTAGCCGATTTTTGTACTTATTCTTGATTCAAGTTTATTTTCATTAAAATAAGACTGTCCATTAACCCGTTTCACACACAGATGTTCACAAAGATACATGAACATTTACTTACTGTAAGTCCCCATTAAAAACATATTCAATTACAAGTTTATCTTTTTAAAGGGTGAGAAGTTAAATACAACACTGAGACAGTTTTACAGAGTTTACTAAAATCATACAGAAATTCAGAACTCGGAGTCTTTATTTCTTCTTAGGAAGAACAATAATATGCATTTATTTAGCATCTTATATTAGAATCTATACAAAAAGTCAGTTACCTCATTAGGGTAGTATAAGATTTAAGTAGGCAGTATAAAAAAAATGAATGCACAAAGGCACAAAATGGGACTTATCCAAGATCACAGCAAATCAGTGGTGGAGGTGCAACAGAATGAAGGCATTCTAAAACCCATAGGCTATGTCTATACTGGCAGCTTCTTGCACAAGAACAGCCGTTCTTGTGCAAACATTTGCCTGCTGTCTACACTGCACACATGTTCTTGTGCAAGTAAATTTACAGTACAGCGTTGTAAAACAGGGCTTCTTCCAGAAGAGTTATTCCTCTCCCCGCAAGGAATAAGCCCTCTTGTGCAAGAGCTCTTCCACAAGAGGGCAGTGTAGACAGGCAACATGAATTTTTCGCGCAAAAAGCCTGAATGGTTAAAATGGCCATCAGAGCTTTCTTGCGCAAGAGAGCATCCACACTGCCATGGATGCTCTTGCGCAAAAGCACATGCCAATGTAGACACGCTCTTGTGGAAGACTTTTTGCCCAAGAACTCTTCCGCAAAACAGTTCTTGCGCAAGAAGCTGCCAGTGTAGACGTAGCCATAAATGTTATTGTGTGACCACTAGAGAACATTTACTCTTATATTACAGGCACACTGAGCTGATTTGGGCTGTAGCTATACATGTTGAATTGCATAGCTAAAACCCAATCATCAAATTCATGAGAGGCCTTCTTTATACACAGGTTTACTGAATAGAAAAAATATTCTAGATACTTATTGACTTCTGGTTATAAAACCAGACACACATCAATACAAAACCCCACATTTTTCATCCCAAGCCACCTGAAACAAATTCAAGTTTTCTAGAACACCTTGCGATGGAGTAAAAAAGCATGTTTGCTGTACAAAGTAGTACATATGGCATAACAACTTTTAGAAAATTAGTTTTCAATACTTCATAAGCCTTGTTATCTTAGTAATGATATGAACAAAATATTTTGCTGACTTTCATCTATTCCAAAAAATAAAGTGAAACATGTACATATACAGTCACACAACAGTAGTCAAATGTCTAATTCAGTTTCATTTCCAATCACCAGAAACAGCAAATATCTGACATTAATAGCTTTGAAGACATTAGTTAAGATGTAGTTTTTCATTTCCCTTACTTTATATGTAAACTATAGTCAAGTAACTTTTGCTTGAGACTTTATGAAGAACTAAGGCAATGAATTCTAAATTAAGATATACTTGAAAAGATCATGTTCTCATTTATAGTACCTGCCAATCCAAGTACCACCCAATTTTTTCTTCACACTACAACTTTTTTTCAGAAAAGGTTTTTAAACCTCACATTAAACATTTCCCTTTAAAACATTGATTTTTTTTCTTCTGTGGAATGGATTAAAAGAGTTGTTTCTGGCAAACTGCCAAAGTGATATTGCTACAGAGGCATACTCCATCATAATCCTAAAGTAGTTTCAGCTTTCTAATTATTATGCAGCAACAGCAGTCACTTGGTAGTAAGAAATTTGCAAGTGAACCAGTTTTGATCCCCTCCCCCCAGTCTCTCACAAATACACAGCACAACAGAAACCCATAAAAAAAGCCTACATTGGTAGGCTAGACATTGGGCGCACACAAAATTTTTCTACAAAAAAAAGTGAATCATATAAAGAAGTGCTGAATTAAGACATTCTAAATACACAGTGTATTAAATAGTTTGAACATTCTCTGCCCAGCCACCATGTAAGCGAGTGAAAAAAGGAGATACAAAGAGTACTGTTACTTAACTTGCTTGACAGCAAGCAACCAGATTTGAAATTTAGTTGTTTAAAGCCTTATTATAAATGTTACTAAAATATGATCCAGTAACATTGTTAGAAAAAGAAAGCTCAGATGACTTCAAATTATTTGGACCTAAGTTTTCTTAAACAAAATACAAGTTGAACCTCTAAAAACTGGGACACACTGGTCTGGAAACATCCATGGTATGGCAGGAACACAGATATTGCCGGACCAGAGCCCTGACTGGCCAGGTACAGGAGAGCAGCCTGGGACCAGCTGGTGGTGGGGAGCACAGCCCACGCAGGGCTGATGCAGTCAGGAGCACAGCCAGGGCAGATGGCCACTTAACTCTAGCTCTCCATAGTGTTCATAAGGCTGGGCCTTCACCAAGCTCCCTCACAGCTTGAAAGAATAGGCACCAAGGGACAGATTTTACGAGGTATTTAAGCATCTAAATAGGCAGGTTAGTACCCAGTGGAATTTTCAAAAATCACCTAAGTTCTGATCCTCCGCTGATTTCAATAGGCATTCGGTATCACAGGATTTTCAAAAGCACCTAGAGGTAGCCTGCCTACACCTTTAGGACCTAAACACCTCTAAAAATTTTAAGAAGAGAGCAAAAATCTCAACTTGACTTTAATCATCTCATACTCTCCCTAAAGAACCTGGGAGACCTGTTGGAGTTAGGGCCAAGCAGGAGATACTCACACTTTTCCTGAATACATTATCACCTACTTATAAAGTCTGGCAACTTCTCTTGAGACTTTACAAAGCTCACTAGGACTCTTAAAAGGTTTGGAAACCACCACCTACTCTCTTATTAGGACCTAAGGCCCTGAGAGTCAAATTTGAATTGATGTGTCCTGACAAGTGTGCTTTCGCTGATTTGGGATCCAGAAACCAATTTAAGGATCATTTGACAATGACGCTCATTCTAAGGCCTTGTCTGTATAAGAATTACACGGTTTAAATAAAATATGTGTTTAAATAAATATTGTATAGTGTAAATCCTTATGTCGACACATTTGAAGTCACTTTATACTCAACATATCAATTTAACTTAATTCAAATTACACAGTCAAGCATACTTACTACAAATGTTCTGTAATT